TATACTGTAGTACAGTACGCTACACTACCACTACCCTACTACCATCATGCTAGTACTGTACCTACCCTAGTTAGGCCTTCCTTCCCGATCCCCCTCCTTTATAATCAGTTACTATCTTATGACTGCGCTACCGTAAGGTAGCACACTGAGCTTCCCCTCTCACCCACTGTGCCTATCCTGCTACTACGGACTGTACCTTAACGTCAAGTTGATGTACGGGACTTAGTTTCTTTACATACGACCGCGTGGCGACCGGAACGGGGAGGTAGAGTGGGTGGGAAGGGACGCGCTGCCCCCTCGCGACCCCTCTAACATAGTTTTCGAGTCATCGCAGCAGCGGAGATCGTTCGTCATCGACCCCGTCGCGTCCAGCGCGACGGATTCCTCGGGGGAGCCCGAAATCGTCGAGTCCACCGGGCCGAGCTCCGGCGGCGTTTCGTCCCGACGGTGGCCGTGGGGTGTCTGGGGCTGCCCCCCAGGTTGCTAATTCTGTAGCGCCCCCCTGGGGACTTCCCTGGGGCCCGGTGGCGATGCGCGACAAGTACTAGAGAGATAGAGAGATTTCTACCGTCATCTTCAGTGAACTGCACCTCGATTTCCACTCTGAAAAGCTCTCTGTAAAGTACGGTCTCTGACTCAAGAGCCAGGCCACGCGCTAGCTTTTGGGGGGGGCTTGGAGATCTTCTGGGATGCCAGGCGGGCGCAACTGCGGAACTGGCTCAGCGTTGCCTAGCGGGGTCGCCGCTGTGGGCCCTAGGCGCCCTGGCTTCCGAGGCAGCTGCTTTGTTTAGACCGGGAATGCGGGTGGGACGGTGACGAGTTCTTTCTCGTGTAGCGGAATTTCGGCCTTCGAGTACAGTGGCTTTCTGATAGAATCGTACATCGGCTGCGTAGGCAGGAAGCTGAGAGATTTTTGTCTCTTTTCCGACAGCATCCTCGCCACGAAGCTCATGAATGAGCCTAGCTTCAACTTCCTCAAGGCGCTGGAGGGCCTGGTTTGTGCCGTCCTCTTCCAATCTCCTCTCTGGATGGGAGATGAATCCAGGCTTTCCACCGGCGAGTGAGATGGGCTCGAGCAAGCCATCGGGGAGGCGGGTGGGTGGGGTGAACAGTTCTGAGAAACCAGAAGCGAGAAGGGAAGACACCACAATAGAACCTTCACCGACACTACCCATGGAGTTATCATGCCGTCGGATGCGAGCTTGCTTAGTGGGCTTAGTCGTCGCCGAACTGAAAGGCTCTGCGACGGCCGAGTTCGTCACAAGAACTGCCGATTCGGGACGTTCGAGTACCTTGAGGCTTTGAAAGGCACTCCTTGTCATATGATTCGGGTCGCTTGGCCAGGGGGGGCCGGCGCGAGTTACCTGGGCACCGCCCCGGTTGCTATCTGACGCATCTTGATTTGTGGGAAACTCAACAGCCGAGACTCCGGCCTCAGGAAGAAATTCGAAGTTCTCCACTAATGAAGTTTGACGGAAGTGAAGTGGGAGAAATTTAGCTGAATTCTCATCATGCTGCCCAGGGCTTTGAGATCGACCAATGGTAGGCTGCGAGTGTGAGTGAGCTATCGAATTCGTCGTGCAATATTTGAAACTGTGTTGCGAAGTTAGGGCCCGCTTCAAATTTTTTGACGTGCGGACAGCATTATCCTTGGGCACAGTTGATGGTCGTCGGGTAGTGTTGATGAACACCTGTGGGGTCGGCAACGTCACATGATCATTAATGACATGTTCTGTCCCGAAAGTAGGAGTGTCGCCAAAAGAATTCGAGACTTTCTCCAAGGGCGAAAACGGCGAGAAAACCTCCAATTTGGGTTTGTGCGCTTGACCCGGACAAAGAATCTCCTTGAGTTCCCTTGCGTCCACATTCAACTGGGAATCAAGCTTGGGCTTGGGTATCGCAAAGACAGTGAGGTTTTCAATGGCCCAGCGCTTTGGATTCGCCCTTTGTAACAGGGCCAAGACATCTCCAAAAATTCCTGGTCCAAAAGGCTGCGACTGGGGATGATTCACCGCATCCAGTAACTTTTTGATTTCGCTGAAGGGCGTCGGCGATTGCATACTCAACCACTCATGCATACCCTCTGCACTAATGGCGCCTTTATTATCTCTGTCAGCGAGCTTAAACAGCTCGCGCCGAGCACGGCTCGCACTCGCTGGCCGACGGTTCGCGCTCGACGGGCGTCGAGCGGATCCCGCACTCGTCGGCCGAGAGGTAGATCTGCGGCCATTTCCGTCTGGTTCCAACTGCGCTGCCAATATACGAGGTAGACTATTGAACACCTCTCCGGTGCTTCGCCCCCCCCCCCATAGACTCGATCGATGCTCCAATTCGTGCAATGATAAATTTGAGCTGGTTCGGCCAGTTTCGTCTATTGGGGGCTTCGCCTGGGGCGTCACCGTGGATATGTGCAGCGACGCCCATGCATCAATGGCACTAGGAACCGGCTCTGTCGCTATCTCCCCACAAATTGGCACGAAGCTGTCTGCCACCAGTATGGGAGGAACCATTGCGATGACGGCCCAACAACAGTGGACCTGGAACACAACAGTAAATCGCGTCGCAACCACGGCCTTAAGCTTAGCTTGAGCGTGGGAAACCGCCGCAGAGATGCAATCATTGATCGCTCCTACCGCCGAAACTTCGCCCTGAAAATTGATCTCCATACAGGGGGGTCGGGGTCTACTCGAGTCCTCAGTGAGCACGACCGCCCCCACCCTCTTCTTGGCTGCCATGGTGAGTGCCGCTACACTACTGTAACGCCTTCACGGCGCGTTAGACTTATGCCGCGAGGTGGCGCGCGGCGAGCTGATCCCCGGTGGCGGCGATTGACCATCTCGACGATGGCCGCTCTCCGTGGCTTAAAAGGCTGCCCCTCGGCCCGGAGCGAGCCCTGGAGGCGGCACCCAGGGTCGCGGCTGCCTGCGGGCTGGGCGCGCGGCCGAGGGCTGCGGCCGCTCTCTCGCCGTCGTTCCGCCTTCCCAAGCCATCCCGTCGAGGGGCGCGCCGGGACGAGCGCGCGACGGGGCTGGGAGACTGAAATTCAGCCATCCATAACCATACAGGGAGGATTTTTCAGATGAGGTGAACCATAGCACTGGCGTTATAGGCTAGGTTAAGGAGGAGGAGGATACGGGGGATTGGTATCCTAGGGGATGACGCTGGGGGAATTGGGTCATCTGCTCCCCCGCCGCACGCGGGCGTATGGAGGGGGTTCGCGAGGAGGCCCGATGGGAGCCCGCTTGGGGTAGTCGTTTCTGTTTTTTTTTTTTTTTTTTTGGTGGTGGTGCCGGCGTAGCCGCAAGGCCAAAGGCCGGAGACGCGGGCACGAGGATGGGCCGGCGCCTCAGGCGCCTGTGCGCACATCAGCGCCGCTGAATGCCATGACGGAGCGGTAGAAGCGTTCCTCGTCCTCAGCAGCCGTGAGGGAATTCGCGGGGTTCTGCTTGGACCGGACGTAGCGAAAGTGGAAGCAGCCCGAGTCGATGGCGTCGTAGACGAACCCGAGGTGGACCCGGATGTGTCTGGCCCGCGCGGAGAGGTCGCGGCGCCGGAGAAATATGATCGCGCTCTGGTTGTCGCAGTAGATGAAGGAGGGGCGCAGGGCTCGGCCGAGCAGGAACTCTGCGAGCTGTCGCATAGCAATGAGGACGCGGACGGTCAGGACAAGTGCATAAAGCTCAGCCTCGAAGGTCGAGAGTGCGGTGGCCATTTGGACGGACGACCAGGCGGACACGCAGGCGCCGCCGGCGAGAATCAGGTGACGAGACCAAGCCAGATCGTTTCCAAGTTGCATTTCTAGAAATTATTCTGCGCGCTTATTGCGAGCATAAGCGAAGTCCAGTTCAAGTGCCGAAAGAATGCGCCGCCTCGAGCGATGCAGAACTGGGTGCCAGGCTGGCAAGTTGTGTATTGAACTTGAATTTCCTCCACATAAGAAGGCACTGGGTTGCCAAACACAGCAACCTGAGTTTGGCTAAAAACGCTGAGTCCAAGCAGTGTTTTGATCATGTTGAACTAAGCCTGTGCAGCGCCATTTTAAAGGGGCCAGTGACGACGCGCGCGCGGGCCGTCGACGCGCTCTAGACGTCGCGCGCGGCGTACAACATGGAGCGGCGCGGCGCGGCAGCCCCCGGGCATTCCCGCGGCGGCACCCGCGGCGCCCATAGTACGGGGCGCAAGCGGTCGACGACCGCGACGCCGACCCCCGCGGCCGCGTTGGTGACCTCCCTGGGGAGCACTCCTGGGGAGTAAGGACTAGTGCTCTTTGTTTCACGCTAGAGTATACCACCAGGTGGGTTAGCGCGGGGGGTTGTGTAGGCTACCTATCTAGCTTGGCGCCCCGGTAGGTTGGCATATGGTCCTCCTTTGTGGTGCGTGATGCGCACGTTCCTGGCCAAAAGGCAATGAAATATCATATTTGGAACTTGAGGTGCTTAGAATGGGATCATGTTACCGGAACCGATCTGCTCGCCGAGCGTCTGGCCGGTCTGACCTTCAGCAAACATGTTGCCAATAATACCGAGCATGGCAAGGCGACCGTTAGCCATCTCCGCATTCAGCTTCTCCGTTTTCTTTTCCGGCCCGTATTTTGCACCAAAGAAACCAACGTTATAGTCGCCGTCATACTTAGATGCAGGCCACCACGCCATCTCAATCAGTCCTGTGAAGAGCAGAATCTGCGCGATACCGGCAGCTGGAACCTTGAAGATACCCTGGCCGCCGTTCGGGATATCAGAGAACTTGAGCTGTTGAGAGAGAGAGAGGTAGCCCGGGAATTCCACGTCGGCGTTGTGCGCGATGCATCCTACCATCGCCACCATGGCAATGCGGCCATGTTTACGTTCAACAGCACGACGGCGTTCAAAGCCTATGTTAGATTCTGAATTATACTGAGTCTTCTTATATCCTCACCCTCTGGTTGATTGGTGCTCAACCCAAGCGGGTCCCAGAAACCTGCCGGCGCTTGGACCCCGATCGCCTATTAGTGATGTTTCTAACGGGTCGGAAGACAAAGCTCACGAACGCTGGAGCACGCGGTTTCATCGACTGCAGATCCATCGAGAACGAGGCCCACGGCAGGCGTCGTGGGCGCGACGAAGGCCGAGGCAGCTGAGAAAGTCAACGCGAGGAGAAGCGGCTGCATATTATTGCCCGCTACCTTGTAGATGCCGTCGCGCGATCTTCTTCGCCCTGAGACTAACCCTATAGGACTGCTGTAGCGAACTGGTAGTGCCTCGCTGAGGTTCGCTGCTCTCCTAGTTATTTGCTATTTCTTATGGGTATGGTATATTGGTATCTCCCTACTTTCCGTTTTCTCTTGCTACTTTCCTGGTACGTCGGTGTGTGTGGCAGATTCCCACAAAGGCCCTCCGTCGGCCGCGACCAGCTGGCATGCGACGCCCCTCGCGCCACAGCGCGGTCCCCGGACGCCCAGGGGACGCTTAAGCGATCCCCTGGGTCCACAGGCCCGCGTTGGGCCTCAGTTCCTACTTCGAGCTCATGCTGCTTGGGCACTGTTGCCCCGCGGCCAGTCAGCCAATCAGCAGGGCGTGATTTTTTTTTTCGATGACGACAGACGCACCCCCCCGAAGAATCGTACAATTGCGCACTCAGGGCCCTCATATCAGTCCGTGTGCCGATTTCTCCGGTTAACTGGGCATGCTAGGCTGAGTTTTGGGCCGGTGTCATTCCCGTTCAGAAACCAGGGACTTGTGGATGATTTTTGCATGGTTGGCATGGTTCAGTGGGTGTGATGAGCTATACATATGGGCTACCTGGCGATTAATCGACATGCGTCCTTGATTTTGAAGCACACTGGGCTGTCTGCAAGAGCCCTAGGGCCTTGTGGCCAAATTTGTTTTCAGTTGCTTTCGAGTATTTTCCAGATGTGTCATCCTCGAGAGCAGCGAGAGAAGCCACTGCCTCGTGACGTACGTCTTCATCAACAGCGCCGCAAAGGCCAACAAGAGCATCTGTTCCCCCAGCAGCAAACCTATGCATCTGACTATTGTGATAAGTCACAGTGGATTAATTCACGGTGTTGAAGACATGTAGCGGCGAGCATCGGCTAGAGAACAAATATTAGCGAGTGCTGCCGCTCCTAGACGTCGCACATTCGCACTTTCGCCACCAGATTGCGTGTCACCCGCAGCGTCGACTAGTGTCCGGCAAACATCAGAACGAGTTCCAGTCTGGACAAGCAAGACTCGCTTTGCTCCACGATCAGTCGCAGTGAGACTGGCCAAGCAACGGAGAGCGGCTTCACGTACAGCTGGCGGTTGACAATAATGTGCGAGTGTGACTATTGTTTCTACACCGCTTCGTGAAGATTCGACTCGGATTCGATTTGAGTCATTGAAATAAAGCGCATTTGCCACCAGGTGCAATGCGCACGCACGCTCTAGGACATTGTTATGCGCGGCTCTTCCCAGTAGCAGCTCTCCCATATGAGACTCATCGACATAGTCGCCGCGGAAGTGTGCACGGTCGATGGTGTTTTTCACTGCCGCCAAATCTATCACATTTTCGATAAATTGTCCACACCGTTCTTGGTTCGGACTATTGGACCACGCAAGGTTTGAAAGTGCCCAAAGAGCAGTTGCACATTGTGCTTTGTTCTGCCCTTTGTTGGAGATAGACCAGAGAGCTTCTATGGCACCAGCCTGACCAAGTTCGGACCGAAGCTCAGGGTCAAGGGCAAGGTTGCCGAGAAGAAGCGCGGCCGAGCGCCTCGCAGTTGATATATTTGCCACACAAAGGAGGATAACGGAGCTCACGGAGGATTTTTCACAGAGTGGCGTCAATGACGGTGTTTGCGAAAGATCCTCATTTGTCTCCGAGATGGAAAATGTTGTTATAAGAGCGCAGCGATTCCCTCCTGTAAGGGATGCGAAGGCATTTGCAAGGGAATTTGCAGCACCTGCTTGAATCTGAGCCTCCCTGTCTGAGTTTAGCAAATCAACTGAAATATGTGACTGCAGGAGGCGAGAAAGAACATCTAATCCACCTGCAGCTACAAGCCTGTCAGCATTTGGCGCATGCAATGAGAGCACATTTGCTAGCGCACTGACTACGGATTCGACAATATCGGTGTCGTATGTCGTCTCAGTGTGACGTGAAGACCGAGAAATGGAGGACCGCAGCTTGTCAACAAAAATCTCAACAAGACCTGCTGCACCAAGTGCTTCCTGATTTTGCTGCATTTGGAACGCCAGGTTGGCCGCCGCCTATGAAATAAGAAGATAAGAATGTCCCCTCTTGAGTTATTAAGTGTAAGAACAAATGGAGTTGTTGAGCGACATATGCAAGACATCACATGCCAAGGCAACCACTTCCGGGTTGGCATGTTGTACCAAGCCGACGACGGCGGATATCAGACCATCTACTCGCCCCAGTGATGATGCATTCGTTGCATTGAATGACACTCCTGCAAGGCCCCTGGTGGCAGCAAGTACGCATTCCTGGTCACGGTCGCGAGACAGAACAAGGAGCACTTTGATCAAGGGTGCGGGCATCCTATAAACAGCCTCCTTATTGGATCTATCCAATTTGGGGAACAGCCAGCCTGTGCTTCCCGTCACTAGTTGGCGCATATTTGCATGATTTGGTCCCTCGCATAAGCGCCTGCGACGGAGAGCCCATTGTCTCCGGGCAACGGCTGCATCGCGAGGGGTGCCATGGTTTATTTTGCTTGGTAAACTTTGAGCTTGAGATAGACGCCTTGGTTGGACAGATCTATCGTCGAACCCAAGATTGCGTCTGAGTCTTTCCATCTCACGGCTGACCGCCACATCAACCCAAAGTCGCCATTGTTCACGAACATCGGCGCCTAAGGCTCGACTGTCCACCTGGCAATTCCAGGTGAGGGCAGCGAGCGCCTTTGCGCTGAGGCGGCGGAGCTCGCGCCTCGGTGATCGACACATTGCAGCTAACACCAGGGCGGCTCCATTAGCACCTAGCTTTTTGACTGCGAGAAGACTAATACAATACACTGGAATATTTACGAAGAGCATTGTTGAACGTATGGTGCGCACCGGACATGGTTGCAACGCGCTGTGCAAAAAAAAGAAAAAGGGCGGATGTATCTAGTCCAAGCGCGTGTGCTGCAGTGGTATGCCGCCAAACATCGAGGCGTAATGCACGTTGAGCCCGCATGTCAAGCTTCTTCTGCTGGTCGAGCAAGGTTTCACGGTGCATAAGCGCAGTTTTTGCTCTTGAGAAGCTAGCGAGCAGCGTGTGAACCCATAGTTCAAGACGAGCCGAGTGCGCACGTTCATAATATACCTCGTCACGAGAGCAAGCACGTAGTTTAGCAAGAGACTGTGTCATTTCCAATATCGCTAGGTCGCGCACTCTTCGGCGAGCTGCTTCAACACCCAGGCTATGTCGGAGTGCCTCTGCGAGTGCTATGTGGAGAAAGATCTGCTGCTTGCATTGTTTGAGTCTGTCTCGAAAGTTCGATTCAGCAACGTCCCGCCTATATAGTCAAGCCCATCAAATCACTCAGATTTTCTAAAGACAAAGGGAGTTACTCTCGAGCTTCGCGAAGGGCGTCGCGCCTTGCCCAAACCCGATCTTTCGAGGCTCTAGTCCGCGCTTCTTTAGCAAGGTGTTTCGCTGTTTGTGCAGCTCGCACTCCAGCGCACAGAGCTGCGGCGTGAACTCGCCTTCGTGATGCTCGTTCTCCAAGCAGTTGGTCATGCAATTCGGAAATGGCGTTGCAAGCACGTCGATGTTCGTTCAAAGATGTCTCAGTCGCACATTTAATATGTCCTGAAGCAAACGAGCTGCGTAAAAGCTTTTGGGCACGTGCTGGCAACCAAAGCGGATCACGGAATGGGGTATCTGGAGGCAGAGGCCTGCGGCGCAACTTCACGGAAAGGCCACCTTTCTCTTCTAGGTTTACATCTTCCTCTTTGCTGTTGCTGGATAGACTCAGCCTCTCCGAGCGCGGTACGAGGAGATCTTCATTCCGTTGTTTTTGTTCACGAATGCGAGCACAGCGGCGAGAATTTTCCAGCAATGCAAGCTGAGCGTATGCAGCAGCCACGCGTGTCTCTGCCATTCGATTTCCAGTAACACAAGAGTTGCACATGCTGTTCTTCGAAGCTGTAGCAGCGACCATGGCAGCACGGCGATCAAGTATCGCCTAGAATGGTAGTATATGCAACTTTCTTCGTTCAGACACAGAATCCTTCATTCAGACACAGGCAGGCACGTTGTCGCACTCCAAGCGAGCATTCGCCACAGCCGTGAGTAGAGCAGAGCGCTCGTCTTTGGCTTCCTGATCTCTCAGTAGTCTTCTTACATCTGCACGAAAAAAACGGAGTTCAGTTTCGTGCAGAAACCTTCGTCGACGACCTTCTTGACAAAGCTCTTCTCTCAAGGCAACAATCTTCAACTGGGAGACAGTCATGGCGTCCGCCATAGATTTTTCTCGAAGAAGCTCGTACGCCACGGTGGCACGGCAGTGTTCCATACACGCAGCGTGTAGGGAATGTTGAAGCCGGACGAGTGCTCGCGCTTGGCGAGAACGTTCGACAACTTGTGCCGCGCGAGTCGACACTGCATGTTGTGCTCCTCTAGCTAGCCAAATACCACGCTCAAACTCAGCACGAGCTTCAGATCTTGCCTGCTGGCGAGCTTCCATGGCACGGTCCCGACCTATCAGCTCATGTGCTGCATCAGCCACAAGTTCTTTGAGTGTTGCGAGGGCCTTGCTTTCACTCTCATCCTTCTGCTTCGAGCTGCGCAACAGCGCGATGTGTCGTGTCTGCGCTGTTTGTGCCCGTCTATTAGCAGCGTCGAGAATGGATTCCTGCCTCGTAATGATCTCACCCAATTTGCTGTCTGCCCGGCCAGTCCTGGCTGCGAGAGCCTCGTGATCAATCCATAGTTCTGCGCCGAGTCTGGCCGACCTCAGAATCAGCGCACTGAGGATCTTGTCATGGGCTGATACAATTTCTGCGATGGCATTGGTCGCATCCCGAACAAAGGCTGATGGGGCTGTGCGACACACAGTAGCTGAATCTCCAGGGGACGCGGAAGGCTCAAAGAATCCACAAATTGGTTTACACGAGTCAAATTTCAAGGTTTGGCAGGTTGTCTCAGGCATATCGGCAAGCGACGAGAATTGTTCAGGGAGTAAGTTGCTTTCCCCTAGATCAAGT